TATTTTCTTCTCCTGAACTCCACACAACAATAGTATCACTGCAGAAGATATGAGTCTGCAGACTGCAGCACAGACTAAAATAACACCTGACATGATTCTCTGATAAGGTCATCAACAATCTCAAATCGTCAATCTCAAATCTTAAACTATTCTTCAGCAAAGGAACCCCTCATGTGCTACATTGGACAGGATTGTTATATTCAACAAAAGTTACAAAACACTAAGCTAACATTTGTTAAACTTGAAACAAACGACACAATTCACTTTTCACATGCAAAAAAAATAGTGTTTCCGGAAGTTGCCGTCACATTGTAAAGTGAATGTGTGCATGAGCCTTGCAAACGCTGTGTGATGATACTGAGTGGCTGCCATATATTGAAAATTGATGCCTTTCCCTTCACTTGGCACCCTGCCTGTAACCTGCATCGTTGGGTCATATGGGTTGCAGTGCTAAACCCAGACATATTGTCCATTTTTGAAAGAACGCCTGGACACGCAGACAGGGGCCCAAAAATAGGATGAGTCCTGGGAAACTGACACAGGGCAACCCTACCTTCTGGACTGTTAAGGTTTGTTATTTATTAACCTAACTAAAAAATTTATAGATGGCAGATTATACATTACTAGAGAGAACTATTATATTAGTTTTTTCCCCCAGAACAAATAACTGCTGTGTCCCTGGAAGACGTTTGATGTTTCCTACTGGATTAAAGTCCTTCCCACCTGCTGGACTAACACCTTACCCATGCACTGAGTCCCTAACCAGTTTGCACTGAGTCCCTAACCAGTTTGCCATTCCCCATTATTCAGATATCGTAAAGCTTTCACTTTTGGACCCATACTGTATTTTTAAAACTTGCACTGATTCTGGTATTCAGAACTCCCCAGGATTTGAGTGCAGATGAACGTTTAAGGCTAACATAGAAATTACTTTTTTTTTTTTTATGTAGATCTGACCTAATTTTGGATAATGTTTTACATGATTTTATTTGGAACATTACACTTTTGTAAAACCATCACTAGGTTTCCAAGATGTTTCTGCAGGCCAGTATTGCAGCTCAGTTTCAAGTCTGTTCTGGCGCAGCAGATTGTTGAATGATGTAGCTTCTTTAGGAGCAGGAATATTTAGTTTGGTGATGCCTCTGTGTTTCTGTGTCACAAAAATACAACTACAGTACAAATTTAAATTGACACAAGTCACTTGTACTTCTGTTTTTTGGAAATGTCTGTAGTTCAAATCTAATCTACAGTGAAATTCTTGTGCCACAGTTGCACGAGGGGGACGATAGGACAAAACAGTGGAAACAGGACACCCAACCTGCAGCTAACACTGCTTGGACCCCTAATAAATATATTCAACACGTATAAGTTTGTGCAAGTTTGACAAAATGCACTGATAATAGTGCAAACAAATAGGTAAACTGTACACACAAGTGCGTGAACTTGTCAAGGAACCAGGTTCTTGTGGGAGTAACGGAGGTTCTCTGACAGTAGTTGGCCTAGTGAGTGATGACAACACAACAGCAAATAAATCAATCTGCACCATCTAAAATACTAATGCTAATTCCAATACTAATACTAATTAATACTAATTAATACTAATTCCATTTACCGTGGAGGTCGGAACTCGGAATGATGTCACACCCGAGTAAACTGTGTTCCAGTGAAGCAAGTTGGAAAGCCATTTAGCAATACCAGGATCTGTTTCAAATAGCAAGATTTCTTTCTTAGCTAGATAACTTGTCTAATTTAATTTACCCCAGTTTAAAAGGCCTTTATCTTCATTCACTTACATTTAGCCCAGACTACCTTAAATCCAACAAGTTATCTAGCTAAACAAGAAATCCAGCTTTGTGATACAGGTTCCCGGTTGTATTTTCCAGATTCTCATTTAAACTGGAGTGAAACCATGTCTTGAACACCCCGACCGAAAGGTGGGGAAGGATCTTATTCCACATATCCTTTAACAAACTTATTCACATCATGGCTGTTGTGCCGAAATAGAGATCCTGTTTGTCCAGGAGCTAAAATCTCAAAGTTCCCATTTTTTTGGTTTACTTTCAATGGTGTGGAATTAATGTAAGCAAATATGATGTTGGGCCACAGGAATCTGCATAGTATTTTAAACTGATGTGTCATCATTCCTGAAGTAAAGCCACTGGCAGCACACTGGTTTGTGGTTGTGCTTCAGACCCGGGGATTGTGGGTAGGTAGGCCCACAAGCTGATGCTCTCTCTCAGTGACCACCTGTATGTACAGCTGTAGGGTATCTTGGGGCATTATGTTCAGATCACTATATGCTTAGATGTGAAATATTCAAGCATGGTCCAGAGAAACCACAGACTAGCAGAATAACTGGAAAAGATTGAAATATCTTCTATGATAAGTAATCCAAGAAAAAAAAAAAACACGCAGAGAACTTCTTACTGCAAATTTACATGAGATACTCCTCTACACACCGCAGTGCCCTGGTCAGGCATTCCCCAAATACTTCAGATTAAATCATTAAATGCATTTTTGGAGAATGTGAAATTATCTCCAATGATTGCCTGTTAAATATTTCACAGTAATTCAAGAGGCATTGCTTTGATATTTTCATTTTTATTGACTTGATAAAACCATTTTGATTTGTTTGTTTCGACTATGTATATTTAGGAAGCTGTTCTCGACTGTATCACAGCCCTTATCCGGAAAATCAGATCGTAGGTAGATGCAATCGGGATATATGTATGTACAGTATGTATGTATGTGTCACTGGACTGATCCTTGTAGGAATTTGCTGGAAGCTAAGTAAAGACAGCCCCTGACTGGGCCTTGAACCTGTGCATTTTTGGGCACAATCCAGGTCCTGAACCAACAGTTTGACTGTTTGGCCATGGAAGACATAACATTTCACTCCCAATATGTCATTCTTATATACAAAATGTAAATTGTTTTTAACAATGTTGTATAATTGTGTGGACTGTTAGAGTTTTATCAATGTGACAGTTGTTGCCATAAATTTGTTTCTAGAAATTCAGATTCTACAAAAATCTGTCACAGAATAAGATTATTTAGATATGACAAATATGGTATGGCCTACTTCGTGTGTTTGGATAAAGTGAAATTAGACAGTAATTAAACTCAAAGTTAGAGGGGCATTAAATACTAATGTCATTGGTTAAATGGTGCCATGGTAATATTGCCTGTGAATCAAAGTACAAATTTATATGACCTTTACATTAACATTTGAAAAGTGACCAATGAAAGAGGCTTGAAGATACATATTAATAACAAAAAAGCTATTCAACCCACAACAAAGATGAAAACAGAAGAGTAGAAATTCTACTGTGAGTAGATCATAAACACCTGCTGGCCAGTGGCCAGCAGGACCCCAAGCTAGCTCCTTCACAGCCTGAATTATTTGATCACGGGCAGATTATAGAGACACATTGTACTGACTTGTGGCCTTCCTGTTAGACTTAACAATCCTGGCCATTCACCTCTGATTTTTCTCAGTAACAATATATATATATATTTTTTTATCACATCATGACCTGTACATTCTGAGGTGCAGGAACCACTAGGCCCCAAACATGATGTTTAGAATCACTAAGGAGATCCATTTTCAGCGTTTAGTCAAATGGTAACAGAACGTCTTCACCCTTCCTGTATTGAGATGCGATTACGTGGCTTGCTGTTTGGTTGATTGAGCTGTTTGCCTTAACCAGCAAGAGTATAATAATACAGTGGCTACTGAGTATGTGTATATCTGGCATCAGCAAAAAAGCAATTTAGATGAACAGGAGTCACCCATGTCATTGTTTTATTTCAGAAAATGAGACTGATGTGTGTGTTTTCAGCTGAACGCTGCTCATACACTGCTAACAAAATGCTATTTTACTGTGCTGCAGAACACAGTCAGTCACAGATAGACCGGCTGCATTCCGGTGTTCTGTCATTCCACCGTCTTGAGATTAGGGTTAGGTTTTAGGAATTAGGGTTAAGGTAAGGGTTTTAGGGGGTTTTGGGGGGTTAGGGTTAGGGCTATCGATTAGCACTACGGTAGCATAACTCGACAAAGTAGCTCATCTCGACAGAACACCGGCGATACACGATCAAAACATTATTTTGAGACATTTAAGTGAATTCCTACTAAGAGCTGGATTAAACCTGAATGCCTTCATGATCAGAAGTGAGTAACATGGGAAATACAGCAGCAAAAAGCAAACCTCGTTCAAGCAAAGCCACTGAGTATGGGGGTGTGGTCAAAGATTTTACTACATGGTTTTATAATGTTTCTCATTTGTTAGAATGGAATCATTTTACCCATTCTTCTTCTAACCACTTAGCCTGGAATCATGGGACCTGGAAACTACCCCTGGTACCACAGGGTTAGGGTACACCCTGGATGCCAGTCCATCAGAGGGCAGGGGTACACCCTGGAGAGGATGCCAGTCCATCAGAGAGCAAGTGTACACCCTGGATGCCAGTCCATCAGAGGGCAGGGGAACACCCTGGAAGTATGGTATTCCATTCCATCGGAGGACAATCTGAACCAATGGGCAGTTAAAAGACACCAGTTACCCTAACTGAATGTCTGCATGCCATGCGAACTACACACACACACACACACGCACACACACACACACACACACACACATACTGCAGAGGCAGGATTCCATAACCCGACCATGGTTGTGTGAGGCAACAGCTACCCACTGAGCCACCATGACATCCTAGAAGCTTTTTCATTTTTTGTCAAATCCCAACAACCTCAAGCCTCTTAACTTGCTGGAAATCCTTCAAAGAAAGGTTTCAGCATTGTCTGGGTCTAACATCTGTGTGTTGGTTACCCTCCTTGGTGCCTTTTAAAACTTGAGTATACTTACTGCCCACTGCACAGATGTAAGTCTTATAAGCTACCCAAGGCAGGACAGAGGAATACCTTAAACACAGCTGACCACATCCTTTTACATACAGCTGGAGTGAAAATACTGCGTAACACACAAGTCTTTCAGATCAGCTTCTTTATTGTCCTTACGTTAAAGCAGGTTGCCAGGGAATGGATTTCACTGCACATATTTTTATTCTTCTAAATTTTTTTAATTGCATGCAGTGAAATACATGTGACGCAAGTGAAACGACGTAATAAATTAGCATATAATTTACAACTGGAAATAAAAACATTAGTAACAGTGTACCAACATTAATACTGCATACAAAATACAAGCAACTAAACCAGCGTTTACGGGGTAAGTGACATGACATCCAGACACCAGAGTTCACAGCTACGAGTGCCAGTTTTGTTGAGTCTTGGGAAGCTCCATGATCCCACACCTGTAAACTTACACAAGAATCTGCCAGACAATGTAAGAAAATGTAATTATAACAATCAATCTTTAGCATTCAAAATGGTCCGTGTTTATCTTGTAGAGGGTCTACAAAGTACAGCGGAAGAACAAGTAACATGAAATATTGGGGCTTTTTAATAATAAGAGGATCTGTCAGGATTCATAGATATTCCGCCATTTTTATTTCTTTCTATCTAATCCGCATGTTACACGTCCAGTTTACATTCTGTTCTGTTTCAGTCTCAGTGTTTATCTCCTGTGTTTTGTAGCCTTTTCAAATCCCAGTTGCATACAAAAGTAAGAGGTTCCTCACCGGCTCTTGGGGTGTCCAAACACCGTCTGGCTAGAGTACATGAAGGAGAGCAGCACAGGCCAGAGTTACGTTAAGAAGTCCATCGTCCGCAGAAAAAGGCCTCCTTCCAAATACCCAGACTGAGGTAAAAGTCACATTAAACCCCATCCCCCAAAAGGGTAAAATCCATGCACCAACACGTACACCAATTGCCCAAGATAAGTCTAGTCACTGTCAAGTGAGCTGGGGCAGCATTGTGCAGAAGTGCATCACAGATTACTGGGGGGGGGGCTTGGAAGCACCAAAAACGGAGTCCTCCACCAGTGGAAGAGTGGGATGGGGGGAAGCTTCCCAGGTACCTGGAATACTCTGCAGAAATGTGCTACGGCTCACACCAAGTGCAGGCTGAGTAAACAGGCGGTGGTGGATGATCACATGGTCTGGAGGTAGCCAATCGGAGATCAGCAAAGATCTGGTTTGTCATGATCCATCTGTCCATCCGTGTCCATGGGAGATTGGCCTGGGATGTGCCTGAACCCATTCCAGGCCAGGTAGGTCACATGACACTGCCGTGGAGATGCAGTTGCTTGGTTATTGCCCGTATGCTGTGGCGAGCGTGTGTTTCAGGGATCTCCATCTCAAAATGAGGGGGAAGGGACACACATAGAGCACCTGTTTCCCATAGCAATGCACTTCAGATATTAATGAGCACATGCATTGCACGGCGAGGCCTGAAACAGCGCCTCTCACTGGCATACACCCTCATTACATGCAATAGTTTTCATATGCACGGCAGGTTAATTTCACTGTTTGATCCCAGGAACCTGAGAGTGCAGTTTCTCAGCTGTGTGAAGGCTCTGACCCCTGGACTCTGCTTTAGGGTGAGATTGTACCCGGGGGGGGGGGCAGGTTGGGACATGAGATCCAGCAGTGGCTCAGGGGCCCAGCCTCCAAGCCTATTCATTAAAACAGGTGTATTCCCCTTTCACCATCTGGGAGGACACCCCCTCCCACTTAACCAGGTTAAATTTAACTTCTTCTGTCTCCCATTAGATCCCAAACCCCCACCATAGTGTAAAGACAAACCTCTCAGTAACACTGAGCACCTTTTCTCTCTCTCTCTGTACTTTTCTGAGGCGCCCCCTCCAGGCTGGAGGTCCTGCTCTGGACCACGTGTCTGCAGGACAGCATGTGTGGTCCAGCCAGTGAGTCTCTGACACCGACAGAAGTGGGAGCGAACAGCAAAGACGCAGCCTCATTACTTGTTTTCTTAAGAGAGAGAGGAAGAGGAGGAGGGAAAGAGGGAGGGGGAAGAAAAAAACTACAAAAAAGTAATATCTTTCCACAACATCTTACTGCCACCTCTAAAGTTGTTCTGGTTTCTTAAGGTGGCATGCTCTTAAGGCGGTATGCTCTTAAGGTGGTATGCTCTTAAAGTGGCATGCCCGTTAACAAACTGCCAAACTTTATATAAAGATCTTATTTTAAAAAAATGACAAGATGTAATCAGGAGTGTATGCAAAAAAGGAGTACTAACGGATTCACTTTATTAGATAATAACAGAAACGTCGAGGCCAGTAGGGGGCGGTGTATTTACAAGGTCGGGGAGTCAAAGCGAGGCAGAATCACAATTACAGTCTACTGTGACTTTGTGGTCCCAGGAGGGGGGGGGGGGGGGGAATCCCAGGCATTTCCACAGGCACCCACACCTCCGAGGAAAGTCTAACTCTAAATCTGCATCTGCAGTATGGTGCACCTTTTTGCGTGTGACGTGTCCAGCACTTTGGATTACAAACAACAAACGAACACAATCATAATAATAGTAATAATAATAATAATTGTCGTCATTATTATTATAATAAAAATTAACAGCAACAATCACATAAGTTCCCACTTCACAGAAGTGACAGGTAAACTGAGATGTGTCAGCCCAGGCTGAGCAGTGGTTTGGGTTTCCACAGGATAATGAAAAAAATAAAAAAACACATGCGGGTGCCAGACACGGGCCCCTGCTCCCCACCGCCCTCCTCCTCTTCCTCCTCCTCCTCTTCCTCGTCCGGCTGTCCAATCCCCGGCACTAGTCCCTCTCCCACACGGGTCAGTGTCCTTGGCATGTTTTGCAGCACATCTGCCTGAAGTATGCGCGGCTGCAGAACTTGAACTTCAACACCAGTGGGCAGTAGGCCACCTTGTTTACGTCTCTGCATTCTGCAAGACGGGGGGGGGGGGGGGGGGGGAGGGTGTGAGATGGACACGAGGTAAGATGTCTCGTTAAGAGCCTGAGCCCCCACGCTGGGGACTCCGTCGTTAGCCTGCCCTCAGACTGGCGTTCGTCTCGTTGGGCCATTCGGCCTCCAACATCGTCATCAACGGCAAAGTGAGCTGATCTGGGTTACTGGGCTGCTGTGGGGGAGGGAACTCTCTGTCCATCCTGGGGGAGGGAATCATGGCCTGTTTCTTCTTAAATAAATATATACACTAAAAAAACCAAAAGATTATGATGCGCCCCCCCCCCTCCATGAAGCGAATACTGTTGCATGTCAAGTTCTGTGATATACTAGACCGTCAGATAAAACTTGGTACTCATAGTCAACATGCACTCTTAACTCGGCAACAGTAAAACGTTTTCCGTCGTTGGGTGGTCCCACTCGCTGATGTGACGTCGGGCCGCCGGGAGGGACAGCCCCGGTGGCCCAGAAAGTCTAACGTCCTCAGGGGGCACCCCACTCGCACGTCACGTGTCAGCGCAAACAGGGCCACGCCAGATGCACACAAAGCCCCCCCAGATAAGCCGTGTGCTTTCAGGCCTCGCATCCTAATCACGCTGTCTCCGCGGAGATGCTTCCTGGCGTGGTTCGTAGGCCAGGCAGGCCGCCATGTCGGCATGTAGCTTAACGGTCGGGGATTAATGGCTTTATCGTGATGGGGTGGGGGGGGGGTCTTCCCTTATTAGGCCATCCAAACGGCCCGGAGAGCGTGGGATGGAAATAGATGGTCCTCTCATGTCTGGCTATCGCCCCCAGGGTAATCCTATGAGGGTGTCACAAACTTAAGCACCCTGGTACGACATCCAAGAGGTAATCCTACTGATTTCCTGCCCGCTTCTCTGTAGCTGAACGGACACACGGGCGTCTGATCCGACTCCAGGCCATGTTCAGATTATCTGAGACCACACCAACATGAGGACTCTTCTAGCACCAAGCCCCTGTCTCCATTATACTCAAAATGGGTCAGTACCTGGCTTGGCCGGTATTATAGCACTATGGTATTACATGTACACACTACTGAAACATGGGAAGTCCTCCACAATAAAATTTGTCATTCAGCGAAAAATATTGTGGGGGACACCCCCTCTCCCGCTTGAATTTTCTCCCGAAAATGTCAAAATACCAAAAAATGCCGAGATATAAAGGTCAGTATGATGGCTTTTTTTTGCCTTGGACCCTGGTGGCTATCTGCTGAAGCCCAGAATAAAGATGTAGATTTTTTCCCATCCAAGTGCATGGACCCTATGAAATCTCTCCCCCCCCTCGGTTAAGAGCCTCTGACAGAATTTAATTCAGTGTCTCTTAAGTATATATGCTAAAGATTTAATATTTAAACAAAGATTTGACAGTTATTGAATGCAATTAAGTTTTTTTTTGCTATGGTTTAAGCGGTTAAATATACAGAAATGCTCTCTTACTCATCAGTACACAATGTTAACATGCTAACATGCTAGTAGTGGCTGTTGCCGTGGGAGATGGGGCACTCACCGTCACCGTTGGAGATGGGGGTGGCATCGCACTTGCTCTCGCACTGCTGCATGGCGGGGGGCCTCAGGGATTCGGGACACTCGCTAGAGGGCTGCCCCGTGTAGGAGAGGCACTGCACGGTGCGCATCTGCTGCCCGAGGCCGCACTGCGCCGAGCACTGCGAGAGGGGACACGTGGGTAATACTCGTTAATTAATTAGCCTCATACAAGAGATGGAGGAAATGCAGCTGTTGCCGAGGTGGCACTTGTAAATCTATGGCTCCACTTGATATACAAGATTATCCAAAAACGCTGCGGTTTGACACAACATCAAAAGCTCCCGGGCTGAGCCCTAGTGACCCCTGTCCTGAGGTGATTAACCTGAGCCTGTCCACGTGTGGCACCACCGAGGAGGTCCGCATTCCAGGAGGTTTTATTAGCAATGATCTGTCGTGGCCTCGAAGCTATGCAGCGAAGCCCTGGTGCTCTGTGGAGCGTGGCCAGGTTACGCTGACTTTCATTCTGTTGGGGTTAAACTTTCAGCGACTCCTGTCAGGCGGCTGCAAGACTGCTGAGGGTGCAGACGTCTTAAATTTCCATCCCCGGCATGAATGCACACATACATGCTGTCACACCGTATCCTGCAAAGAACAAAGAATTCCTCCTAACTAAACCCCAGGGAAGTTTAGTCAATCTTTAATCCAATTCATTTGCGTTCCTTTCCATGTTGGTCTGAAGGAGCCATGACGTTGACGGTCACCTGAAGGATGGACAAGTGCTGGAGACCCAGCCACCCGGCTAACAGGCCACTAATGAGCCGTTCCCGTTCGCTGACAGCTGTTTCTAATCAGCTTCCCTCCCAGATCAGCATCCCGTAGTCAGATGCCTCGACTACTGTGGTTCTTCCAAGCCGCCACAGGTGGGCCTTGTCAGCACCGGAGGCCTTAAAGGGGATTATACCCCACTGACCTTTTGGCCCTACAGGTCCAGGGAGTCCGGCCATGTAAGTAACCCCCCCAGAAATCTGGCTGCACCAAGATAATTAGCCTAGCAAGGGAGAGCAGTCTTCAAGCTTCAAGAGTACCAAACCAAAAATAGACACGTGTGTTGCATAAGGGATATCACTGCTGTCACGATACTGGTGCGAGAACCCTAGAATGTGTGCAGGTTCTAATTCCCAACAGAGCAGATCCAACCAATTACCAGCCCAAGAAGA